TCCCCCGAGGGGTCCCAGACTGCGAGAGGGCAGAGGCCAGGCTGAGGGACACCCGCCCCCCCCCCCAAGTGCTCAAATTTTTGTGCACCGGGCCTCTAGTATTAGATGAGGAAGCACTGCTCTCTGACGGAGTGTGGCCAGAGGCCGGCAGGCGCTAGCTGTGTCCCCAGCCGCACTAGCTGCGGCCAGCTGTCCGCTAGTGCAGCTGACAGAGTTGCCACAGCCAGCGGCTTACCCCACAGACATTGTCTCACAGTTCCCAAGGCACTAGATGGTTCTGAGGGTGAGGAGGGCTCGCTCCTTCATTCAGAGACTGCGCCTCCTTGCCCGAGTCCTACGTGGGGGAAGGGGCGAGGGCGCTCTTGGGGGTATTTTTATAAAGACACAGGTCTCACCCAGGAGGGCTCCACTCTCATGACATAAGCACCTCCCAAAGCTCTGTCTCCAAATACCATCACCCAGGGACATCAGTTTCTGTGTAGGAATATGGGGAGCACGTACATCCAGTTCATAGCGGTGAGTCCTACGAATGATGAGAACTGACTGTAGTTGTTAAATACAAAGATGCCTTAGTATGGGGGGGGGGGGGGTGTTAGTCCATAATTAGAGCCCATGTTAATAGGGAACTTAGGGACGCCCAGAGGATCTTATCATCAAAACATAAATGTAAGAAGTAGGACAGAGAGTGAACTTATGCCAGGTGTATCTTTAGTTTACACTATATTTTCTTAGCAGGAGAAATACTAATTTTATAGGTTTATAGGATCCACCTGTCATTTCATTCAGGGAGTGTGTGTACAGTGCAGAGTGAGCAGGGTCCCTTGGTGTCATCCAGGCCTTCTCTCAGGCACGGGCCTCTGGCACCAAATGTGAACACAGTTTCCTCTGAAACTGCCTTGAAAAAGAGAAAGAGAAACAGGCTGCTAATGACTGAAGGAGTTTGCAAGAGTATTTTTAATGTCCTGGCCGACTGAACACGGCCCACCAGTAAGAGTCACTGTGCCTTCTTCTTGAGTTGATGAACCCACCTCTTACCAGATTTTGCCATAAGCAGTGGCTACGCTTCAGGTTTTCAAGGCAACCATTCATGGAATGACAGTGCAAAGTGCAGCACGTTAGTGACCAGTTGTCTGCCATAGTGCTGGGAGTCCCAGACATGGAATTATGTAGCTGAGTAGTTCACTGATAACGGTGCTCTCAATCTTTTCCATGCCCACACCACCTGTGACACTCATGGTGGCACAGCTCGTGGGTGCTGGGACACCAGCCATGGGGCAGAGAGGTGAGGACAGCTGTGCTCTGGGGCCCATTTTAGAACCTCAGCAGGGAAGGATTGGTCAGCTGGAATGTAAATGTCTCCTCCCTTTCTCCCTTTATTCAGCGTTTGCTGTTGGTCCCATGTCCCGTTCTTCGCTGAGGAGCTGTAGGTCCTGGATCTGTTGAGTCTAGGCTACCAGTTTATAAAAGCAGCTTGTACTAATGTGCTGGTTCCTCATACAAATATGAAGATACTACAGGCCCAGTGCACGAATTCGTGCACCAGTGCGGTCCCTCAGCCTGGCCTGCAGGATCAGGCTGAAATTGGGTCCTGGTTTGCAAGAGGGCGCAGGTCAGGCTGAGGGACCCCACCAGTGCATGATCAGGGCCGGGGAGGGGCGTGGGAGGTTGGCCAGCCGGGAGGGACTGTGCAAGGGCTCCAGGGTGTGTTCGGCCTGTCTCGGTCAGTCCCGATTGGCCGGACCCCAGCAGCAAGCTAACCTACTAGTTGGAGCGTCTTCCCCCTGGTGGTCAGTGGACGTCATAGAGAGTGTTGAGCAGCCTTAGCATATCATTAGCATAACAATTACTATATAGGATAGTAATTGTTTTGAAAGAGAGTCACGGGTTTTGTTTTAAGGCCCAAATATGTCTTTTTTGTGAAATACAAGTATTGTAAAAAAGTGAATTGGAAATCCCCGGGGGGAGCATCTCAGGGTTTCCTGTGTGAGAGTGAGGCAGCCCTCAAGCTCGGCATGTCCCGGAAGCGTGACCGGTCAGGACAGCTCTGCAGGCCCAAGCCTGCACTTGGATGAGAGGCATTGCATTATTTAGAAATCTAAGTAAGGCTTTAGTCAGCTGATAAATATTTTAAATTAAGTAACAGAAGATAGAGTAGGATGTTTTACTCTCTTAATTCAACTTTATTATTTGGTTTGAAAGACAAACTACTTGTGTGGGGGTGCTGTTCTTATTAGCACATTGGTATGGGTTTACAAGAGTGGGTGCTCTCACCAGGGCTTCCTCCCATTTACATTCTAAGTGACGCACGCACAGAGTCTCACAGAAGAAAGCATGAGGCCTGAATGGCATTGGACCCACCCTTTTATCCCACAGCCCAGGCTCTGAACTGATGCTGGGCGATGTGTTTCTGGAGGGATGTGAGGGAGGGGCAGGCAGGTGCTGCTGGGGCACATCAGGCTCCGGCTCTTACTTGCATTGCATCCAAAGGTCTTGCAGATCAAACAGCCTTTAATGAAGACTGAACACGACTCTTCTGGAAGGTAGATCCTTAAGCGTGTGAGCCGAGGCTAAGGCCTCGTCTGTTGCAGGGCCCGCGCTCCTCTCCAACGAGGCAAGAAGACTCGCTCGGCCTTACTCCTGTTCTCACTGCATCACAGACATGGAAGGGCGCTGCACGGGGAGGGAGAACGCTCACTGGGGAGTCTGTCGGGGTCTCTGGGGTTCATTTTGGGAGGGTGCAGGGATACTCAGGAAGGAAGAGGGAGGGGCCTTTTGAAACGAGTGCTGGAGTCCACCAGGCAGTTGAAGCTGCCCGGAGGCAGTGCAGGGAGCAGAGACTTCAGTTCCTCACAGTCCTCAGAAGGCGGCCCCCACTCTCCATCCACAGGGTTGGTTTCTCCTGAAAGCACTGCTGGGCGTGGAAACGGCGCCTTCCCTCTGCCTCTGTGTCCTGGCCTCCATTGTGCAGGGACACCAGGGCTGCCGCAGATTGGGTCCGGCCCCCAGTGACCTCATTGTACCTTAGGGACCTCTCTGAAGATACTGTCTCCAAACACAGCCATGTTCTGCGGCACTGCAGGTTAGGTTTCAGCACAGAAAATGAAGGAAGTGTAGGAAGGAATTATTCAGATGAGGACTTTTTTCTGGAATTAAAAAAAGTTCATTTCTCATGGTGAAATGGCCTGAGTGATACTTCTCAACCTCCAGTTCCTTGTGCGAACCTTCCGCACTTTTGCCACTACTGCCCACTTTCTTAGTGCTGCTGCCCCTGCTGTCTTAGTTACTCTTCCGTTTCTGTTAGGTCCTGACCACTTAGTAGGCATTTGAAAATTTAAACATGTAAATTAAGAAAAGTAGTATTTTTATATTGTTTTAAAATAACTGTTAAAAAAAAAATGCCAAACCGGTTTGGCTCAGCGGATAGAGCGTCGGCCTGTGAACTCAAGGGTCCCAGGTTCGATTCCGGTCAAGGTCATGTACCTTGGTTGCGGGCACATCCCCACTGCGGGGTGTGCAGAAGGCAGCCAATCGATGTTGCTCTCTCATCGATGTTTCTGACTCTCTGTCCCACTCCCTTCTTCTCTCTAAAAAATCAATAAAATATATTTAAAAAATAATAATAATAACTGCACTACTTGCTGCTGGGCCTGTGTGCCTGGATGTGGGAGGTGGCTGCTGCCACCTGTCCCCCCTGCACAGTGACTCCCAGCAGCGCTCGCATCTGTCAGAGCCGCCTCCCCAGGCCCTGCTCCACACAGTGAGCGGGGAGCCCGGGCGCAGCCGACCCAGCGTGGACCTGCTACCTGGGCGGTGGCCCTCACAGATGTGTCGCCACTTCCCTGAGGTTTTCAGTCTCCCCAGGGTCCTGTGTGTCCTTTGCTGCACCTCAGATACTTAAGAGCACAGTTTAGGGACCACGGAACAATAATGTTTACTGAATATTTTCCTTTAATCAACTTACATTTTGAAATTTTATTTTGATGTATTTTTAACTTCTCAATGTGAACATTAACGGCTGTGAGAGACTCTATATTTAATATATAAAATCCACTACCACCTAAAAAGCATTTCATTTATTACCAGTAGTACTTATACTCTACTTTTAAAAGTATGGCATTTACTAATTTAAAAGGGCAAAATATTTTAATATTTATTGTTTTCTCTCTAAGTGTATGATTTTTTTTTAAATATATTTTATTGATTTTTTACAGAGAGGAAGGGAGAGAGATAGAAAGTCAGAAACATCGATGAGAGAGAAACATCGATCAGCCGCCTCCTGCACATTTCCTACTGGAGATGTGCCCGCAACCCAGGTACATGCCCTTGACCGGAATCGAACCTGGGACCTTTCCGTCCGCAGGCCGACGCTCTATCCACTGAGCCAAACCGGTTTCGGCAGTGTATGATTTTTTTAAATAGACTTTATTTTTTGGAACCAGTGTAGGTTTACCGCAAAGTTGAGCAGAAGGTACAGCGCCTTCCTATGCGCCTCCCGCCCCCCAAGATCCACATCTCCAACCATGGGAGAGGGTGACCTCACCAGCACAAGGCCCTCCCCTTTCATCAGGCTCCCTCTCGGGCAGCACATCCTGTGGGCGTGGACAGTGCGCACTGACATGGCCCCGTCATGACAGTGTCTGCCCCAAGCCCTCTGTGCCCCTTCGGCCCAGTGTCTGACTTTCACTTTTCTTTCAGGAACTTGAGATGCAGGCTCGAGCGCATGGCCTTTCCCTTCTTCCGTCCTCGGGCCTCTGCTCTGCGGACCTGGTGAATCGCATCATCAAGCAGGAGCCCTCCCTGGAGAACTGCAGCCAGGACCTGCCGCCACGCCACGCAGACCTCACCTGCACCAGCACCCTCGACCTCACCGACGGCACCATCAGCTTCAGCAGCAGCCTCGGCGCCGGCACCGAGGGCAGCCAGGCCTACGGTGTCCCCACGAAAATGGGCTCTAAACTGGAAGACATCCTGATGGACGATACTCTTTCTCCTGTTGGCGTAACGGATCCACTGCTTTCGTCGGTGTCCCCGGGAGCTTCCAAAACCAGCAGCCGGCGGAGCAGCGTGAGCATGGAGGAGCCCGAGCACGCGTGTTAGCAGCCCCGCGCGCCTCCTTCTCCAGGAGATTCCACAACTGACCTGAGGGGTTTTCTTGATAATTTTCCTTTAATATGAATTTTTTTCATGCTTTCTCAATAGCCAAGGATATATTTTATTTTTAGAATTTTGTGAAGCGGACCTGTATACTCTATTTTGCAACTATAAATGCCTCCAAAGTATTGTACAATAAGCGTACAGAACCTGTGAACGGAACTCACCCTGGACGCCAGCTTCCTGAGCGAGAGGATTTTCATCAGAGAAATTTCTGTCCACTGTTATTTGGGGAAGCAAGTTGGAGATTTTTATGCCTGTGACTTCCTTGGAAATTAAATGTAAAGTTTAATCAGAGGAATATAAAGCAACCAAAATAAATAAAATAAAAGTAGAGACAGACAGACTGACAGACAAAAGAAAAGAAAAATTTCACACTAACCTTTTCCATTTTGTAAATGTGTTCATTGGTACTGCCTTAAAGATACAGTACCCTCTAGCATCAGTCTTTATACTGCACACTATTTCAAGAAATGCTATATTCTGCAAAAGAAAAAGATGCAGCCATTTTCATGAGGAGTGTCTGGTGAGAAAAATAGCTGATGTGTTACCGCTGAATTGCGAGGACGGAGTAGGGCTCTGAAACCGAGCTTGGCCTCACCCCTGCTGCTCTGGTCCTCACCAATGAGTGTGAGTCAGTGTTTCTAGGACCTATTTTACTTGGAATGAAAATGAATGTCCTCTCATAGTAAGACATTGAGGAGCACTGAATGTTTTACTCTTTTTTCTTTAATTTTGCTTTTGATAAGAAAACCAAACAGCACATTTCTAATTGGCTTTACTATTTTTATTTTTAAATTATGTTTTACTGTTCGTTGAGTTGTACAGATTCTTTATTATCATTGTTCTTTTCAGTATGTTTGTATTAATTTGTAAGAATATGCATCTTAAAATGGCAAGTTTTCAATATTTTTACAACTCACTGATGGTTTTCTGCATTATTTGTACACACATGGAAGAAAACTTTCACGCAAGGTCTTGTGTTTCAAGAGAGCTTTGCGAATATTTTGTATATTACAGTCTCACTCAGAACTGTTTTTCCACACATTTAAGGTGTAGTATTAATAGGTAAAACTGGCCTTCTAGGGAGAATAAACTTACATATTTATTTTTAATGATATAAAAATAGCAATATTCTTGGAGACTGGTAACCATAGTATTAATACGCCCATTATGGTCATTTAAATTGAGGTTTATTTCAGCAAGCGTGCTGAACTTTTCTAAGGAGAGAGATAGTGTACTGGCAAATGACTGGTACTTGGTAGCACTGCTTTGCCGAGCGGCAGTGCCATCCAGGCAGCTGCTGTCTGGTCAGCTCCCGTGCCTGGGTGCGTGCGGTCTTGCGTGGTAGCAGCAGTGGCCCCGCACTCTGTCGGGCGAGGTGTCACACAGGCATGGGGTCAGGAGTCAGGCTGTTGAGTGGACCGTCTCAGCAGCATGTACAGTTGAATAGCCGGTGGCATCAAGCACACCCATCCGGAATGAAGTGCCTTACACGGAGCAACAGCCGCTTCGGACTGAGCTGGCTGAGCTGGGCTGTGGGAGACTTTCCTGCTGGTCTCATTGAGAACAGCGTGCGGCATGGTGCCTCTGTGGACAGTGTCAGAGCTTCCAGTTCTCCTTCAGATATTTTTAATATTAAATATATTTTAGTGACAGAGTGCCAACTTCTTTCATCAGGAAACCTCATTCAGGAGGGTTTTATAAAAAACGAGCTGAGTTTAAATGTCAAATGTGAATTGGTGATGGCTGTTAGAGGTTCAGGGAGAAGGAGTGATTGTCGAATGTATGAATGGATGACTTACGTGAAAATAATCCATGCCTGGCTCCCCGGCATGCTGGGCAGCGAGAGTCCTTGGAACTTTGAGAATGCTGTCAGTTTTCTAGCTTCATTATTTAAGGGGCAGGGAACTTGGTTCCCATTCTTTCAGCCTCCTTCACTGTACAGATAACTCTTCTCCTAGAATAGTGACACGGTGTGCATGAGCAGCTGTGCCACAGTGAAGGAAGCAAAACACACCCAAAATGTACTGCATGGGGGAGGGAGAGGAGACCTGGGTGCAAAAGTCGAAGGTGGCGATGGTCTGATGCTAGTTTTCTTTAGGCGATTTGGAGGTTCTTAAAAATAGAGCAAGGCTGACTAACCCAGGGCCCAGGATTAAGCGAATGTAGAGGGAGATTTGTGAGAGAAAGCATGGCATCTTCTACCACTGCCCTGGGTCTCACACACTGGAGCTCACCCTCCCTGCTGCCCCAACCTTTTTAAGAGACAGTTTCTGGGAGTGGCAGGCCAATGAGCCCAGGAGAAGGCTGCAACGGCGGGAGTGGTTTTATTTATTTCTTTTTTGCCAAATAGAGTGTGGGTTCGTTTTAGGGACTAGTTATGCCAGGAGGGGGTGGTTTGGGCTTGCTGTTTGTGATGAGAGAACAGTCCACACCACTCCCCGTCCCTGGGTGCAAAGCTGAGACCTGGGGCTGGGCCTCCCTCTGGGGTGACTGACATGCCAAACTTGTCCACCTGCCTCTGGGTACGGTGATGGAAATACCAAACCTGACTTTGCCAAAAACCATGCAACCAGCTTGGTCATACTGTGATGACAAAGTTCTTTCTGGTTGTTGTTTTTTTAAATAAAGCAATAAGAATAAATAAAATACATAGGAAGTTAAAAGATACAAAATAAAGCACAAAGGAATGCACTTACTAATATTTTTTAAAATGCACTGGGGAAAAGTTGTTGTTGATAACAGTGTATTAAAAACTCCTATTTCTTGAAAAAAAAAAGACAAATGACTGTCCTCCTGACACTCGGTACTGTAACGTGGTCAACTGCTGTGGGTGCAGCAGTGCTTTCTGCGTGGCCCACGGCACTGTACATTGTGGGTCAACATTCATGTATCCGTGACCTTTGAACTGTTCTCAATAGCTTCATTAAAGCATTTGGTTTTTCACACCGTGCTGGCCAGTTGTGTTTAGTTGATGCCAGTTTTGAATATTGTTTGCCTTATCAGAAATGGTGGTGCACTTTTTCTTCCGATTGAATGAATAACAAATTACATGGAAAAAAATGTAAATGCCAGTAAGTACGTTTTTTGTTTTAAATGTCATTCTAAGGTATTGCTTTTTTTGTTTCAAACACTGATTACTTTATAACTTGCACTCAGATGAACTATAATTATGCAGCTTTTTCCCTCTGACTCTGGGGAGATTTGAACTCCAGAATGCCAAGAATTCATTTTAGATATAGAGGTATTATTTTAAATGTGTTAGTGAGAGGTGGTTTTCCAAAAGAAAAATTATTGGAGGATTCCTTGCATATTTACAAAAAAGATACTGGGTTTTTAAAATACAAATTTATAATAATGAGAGCTTAGTAGACCCAGGTTGCCAGCTCCCACCTTCTTTTTTAAAATGCAGCACTTAAGATAATTTGATAACTCCTGGATCTGACGTGGGAAGTGTCAGACGAACATGTCTTTATTCCCTAGCTAGACCTTAAACTTCTGCCCTCTTGAAAAGCGTTCTGGTTGAACCTCTGGAGAACATGAGCAAGAAACTTCATATAATGCTTCTGGTCTGATTGTCAGCTTTTTTTTAAAGGTGATTTTTTTTTCTTAAATTGTAATATACAATAATCGAGCCCTTTCTTTTCAGAGTCATTTGAATTACTTACATTTCCCATGGAAATGTGATTATGTGATGTTCTTAAAATGTGTAAAAGTAAAAGGTCTGACTGCACAGGAGAGTTCCCGGAGCATCGAGAGCGGATGAGCTGGGAGTTAGGGCTGCTTGCCTCGGAAGTTCGGCAGCAGGACCTTAACCTGGACTTCCGGCCTGCAGGTGCCCGTTACTCAAGTCACATTCTACAAAGATCCTTTGTCGCTGGCTTCCCCTTATGCAGCCCCCAAAACCACACCCGGGGCGTGGCATCACGGCCTCACGTGAGCGTGGACTCGGCCAGACTTTGTGAGTGTGGACCTCTGCCCCTGTCCAGCGTGTGGCTTTGAGCAAGTTGCTTGGCTTCTGTGCCCCACTTTTTGTTCATTGACGGCAATACCAGCCACAGGGCGGCCTTGTGGAAACCATTCAGTTAGTGCTCCAAAGGTCTGCTTGGCAGCACAGAGTACATGACAGCCATCTTTAGATGCTTGTCATCATCACCTTCATTAGAAACAAAGCGCGCTCTCTGGGCCACAGGGGCGCTGCGCTGCAGCAGCGGCAGGCACACGGACGCTGTTGGAGTGGAGGGCTACCGTGTGTGAACCAGCAGGGGCCAGAAGCCACGGTGCTTTAGAGAGCAGGCCCTGGCTGTCTCCAGGACCCAGGATTAGAACATTGCAGAGAATTAGTAACAAACACAACTCGTCACATTTTAAATACATCTTCAGCACAAGTGAACTGTCCTTCATTTTTTTATTCTGTTTTCCATTAAGCAGGAGTCATTTTCTTTTTAAAAAAATAATGCTTAATGTTTAAAGTATTACATATGTCTCCTTCCCCCCCCTCATTAACCCCCTCTAGCCCGCCCCCATCCCCCGCCCCTGGTCCTCACTGCCCCAATGTCTGTCCATGGGCCATGCATATGTGCATACAAGGTCCTTAGATTATCACCTCCTACCCAACCCTCCCCCACTTTCCTTCTGAGATTCCGCACTCTGTTCCATGCTTCTATGTCTCTGGATCCACTCCACTCATCAGTTTATTTTTTTAATTAGATTCCACATATGAGTGAGATCATGTGATA